CGACTTTTGGAGTTCATATTTCGAGGTACCAGTGCACTAGATGTGTGATACTTGCATTTCTTATAAGGTGGCCCATGATCCCCCCCCCCTCCCTTGCTCCCTTTTCCCTTTTCCTATTTTTCCTTAAAGTGGCTTTTCCCCCTCTACGATCTTTTCAATGTTTCCCATAAATATTCTCCCTCATTTCGGTCCTTTTTCACCTCGTTTTACCTTATCTTTTGCTTTTCTTTCATAGGAATTCAAGAATATCAAAAATATGTTTGTCTGTCCACTGTCCTCCTATTCTTTCCTTCTTACTTTTGTACCTTTATTTATATTTGTTTGATTTATGACCTTTATGCCATTTTTGCTGTTTCTTCCTTTGATTTAAACATTTTCTTTCTCTGCTGTCTTATGCTGCAGATGCTCAATTTAGTGTTCCTGACCTGACCAGATATAAAAGATAAATACAGCGGAGCAGACCTTACACAGCCAAGTCTGACATGATGCAAAAGGAATTGACAGGCCTTTAAATCCACTTTTCCCGTAATTACATTGCGAACTCACTCCGTATGGAAATATGCATCTCTTCCGCTATTCTATTTTCTCTGTCTCCGTATTATGTCACTTTGCCTGCCATATCTCTTCTTTCTCCTTCTCCCGCATTTGTATGCCTTACTGTCTGCCCGTTTTAATTAGGGTTACGAAAAAGGCGAGCGCATGCCGGCCGATTCTAACGCCCTTCGTGTGTTTCAGAGGGATGGCGTGGCGGAGCGTGGTGGTGGTGGCGTGGGTGGTGATGGCGGCGACGCGCGGGGTGGAGTCACGGGACCCCTTGGTGGTGCAGACGCAAAAGGGCTCCGTGCAGGGCACCACACTCACCACAGCCACGGGCCGCCAAGTGGATGCCTGGTACAACATCCCTTACGCCATGCCGCCCATCGGTGACCTCCGGTTCCGCCACCCGCGTCCGATCGACCGATGGCACGGAGTGAAGAACACGACGACGCAGCCCAAGTCCTGCGTCCAGCTCCCCGACACCTTCTTCGGGGACTTCAAGGGCGCCACCATGTGGAATCCCAACACCGAGATGAGCGAAGACTGCCTCTACATCAACGTCGTGGTGCCCAAGCCAAGGCCGACCAACGCCGCCGTCATGGTGTGGATCTACGGAGGCGGCTTCTACTCCGGAACCTCCACCCTGGACGTCTACGACTACAAGACGCTGGCGGCCGAGCAGAACGTGATCGTCGTGGCTCCCCAGTACCGCGTGGCCTCCCTCGGCTTCCTCTACATGATGACCGCCGACGCGCCCGGCAACGCGGGGCTCTTCGACCAGCAGATGGCCCTCCAGTGGATCCACGACAACATCCGCTTCTTCGGCGGCAACCCGGACAACATCACGCTCTTCGGCGAGTCTGCGGGCGCTGTCAGTATAAGCATGCACTTGTTGTCTCCTCTTTCACGCAACCTGTTCAGCCAAGCGATCATGCAATCCGGAGCGGCGACTGCGCCCTGGGCAGTCATCAGTAAAGAAGAGAGCATCCTCAGAGGCCTCCGCCTTGCCGAAGCCGTGAACTGCCCCCACGACGCCAACAACCTGACCGCCGTCGTGGCCTGCCTCCGCCAGACCAACGCCACCACGCTGGTGTACAACGAGGCTTCCTCCGGGATCTGCGACTTCCCCTTCGTGCCCATCATCGACGGCTCCTTCCTCGACGAACTGCCGGCCAAGTCCTTAAGAAATGGCAACTTCAAGAAGACGAACATCATGATGGGCAGCAATTCCGAGGAGGGCTACTGGTTCATCATGTACTTCCTCTCTTCCATCTTCAGACGCGAGGAAGACATCAAGGTGACCCGGGCCGAGTTCGAGACATCGGTGGTCGACCTCCACCCCTTCTTCAACGAGGTGGTCCGTCAGGCCATCATGTTCGAGTACACGGACTGGCTCGACCCCAACGACGGCGACATGAACCGCAACGCCATCGACAAGATGGTCGGAGATTACCACTTCACCTGCAACGTCAACGAGTTCGCCTACCAGTACGCGGTCGCCGGCAACAACGTCTACTACTACTACTACACGCACAGGTCCTCGCAGAACAAGTGGCCGGAGTGGATGGGAGTCCTTCACGGAGACGAAATCGCCTACATCTTCGGCAAGCCACTCAACAACTCGGTTCCTTACACGCAGGAGGAGCAGGAGCTGTCGCGGCGGATGATGACCTACTGGGCCAACTTCGCCAAGACTGGGTAAGTATATGTATATATGTACATATATACATACCAGTGACCCTTGATGGCAAAAGTAAGCCGAGCTTAGGCAATTGTTGCTTGATACTGTCAAACTGTAAGGGAGATTTTGTTCTTGGTTCTTCCTACGTTCCTATTTTCATTTTCTTACACTTGTTTCCTGTAAAATCTCGTTATTATCCATATACCTTTCTAAAATTCATATCACTTCTGTTCCTCTTATTTCACACCTTCTTTATCCCCATCTCTCAATTTTCAACTTCCT